GAAAAAGACCCAGCAGAAGCTCTTCCATAACAGACAAAGGGAACAAGGAATAGAATAGAATAGAACAGAATGGAATGGAATAGGACCTTGGAGATCTTCTAGTCCATCCGTCTGCTCAAGCAGGAGAACCTATATCATTTCAGATAAGTGCCAGTCTAGTCTCTTCTTAAAAACCTCCAGTGATAAAATGCCCATGATTTTTGAAGGCAAGCTATTCCACTAGTTAATTGTCTTCACTGTTAGGACGTTTTCCCTTAATTCCACTAATCAGCAGATCGTAAGCAGCGTGTTTTGAACGGGGTGAGAATACTGATTCTTTCGCTACTATTTTGATACTTGATTCCCTGGAAAAGACTAACTTCCAAAAAGCAAGAAAGTCCCCAAACGTGAGAAGGGGATTTTTGCCCTACCCTTCCAGAGAAACGAAAGTGGTGGCCCGATTCTTTTTGGGGGACAAAAATAGAGAAGTATATAATACTAAAGTGGAAGTAATATAAAGATATAGCTTTGACAAACTTGAGAACTTAGAAAACTGTTAAGATTTTTCTTTTAGAAAGAATATTGGGGTGAACTTTAAGAAACTTTAAAGCTGAAATAATTTTTCGTTTTCAAGTGCTGGAAAATAGATATCTAAGGACATCTGGTGGTGGAATAGAGGTACAGCACCAAATTTGTTGTGTTTAGAGTAGATTTTGCACATAACTGAGATATGAGTTGGATAGAAAAGTTGTTATAAGCTGGAACTATTTTTATTAGGTATAATATTAGAAAAATATGATGAGGAGATATATACTAAATGTTGCATGTATTAATAGCAGTAAGAATTGTATTTGCTTAGTGTTGGAAAAAATGAAAAAACACTATCTGAAGAAAAGAGGATCAAGTAAACACTGGACTGTGTAGAAATGGACAGATTAATATTGAAGGATAAAGAAAAAAAAGACATAGAATAATTCCAAATATAGAATGTAGCTTATCACTGGCTGGAAAAAAGAAGTAGAGATTAGGAATTCAATGTGTATTATTAAGTAAAAAAGGGTCCCAGACAACATGTTGTTTATTAAGCACGTACAATTTGTAAAAATAGAAAATTAATAAAATATTATTATTTAAAAAGAGATCTTGTTGGATCCTGAGCTTGTCTTCTGGAGTGTTGGCTATTCCTGCCAGTTTAGTGTAATCTGCAAATTTGATGAGTTCCCCTTCTATTCCCTCATCTAAGTCATTTATTTATTTTTTTATAAGTGTTTTATTCATTTTCTGTTATTACAAATCATAACTGCTTAGTAAACAACATGATGTCCGGGTCCATTTGTTACTCAATATTGCATCTTAATTTCTTTAATATAAATCTATTCAATGCTACACAATCCAGTGTTTTTCCCCGATCCTCTCTTCTTCCCATAGTGTTTTCATTTTCCCAACATTGAACAAATACAATTCTTACTATTATTAATACATACAAAATTAAATATACCCATCCTTTTCATATTTTTATAGTGTTATACAATAACAGTAATAATTTATAACCTCTTTTCTAACCACTTTATATTTTAATTGTATTTGCAATTAAAGTCTCCTTATTCAATCAATATCCTGTTTTTCAAGCTCTTATTTAAGTTTAATTTCCCATTGGTATTCAAAATATCTTTGTCAGTTAAGTTTTTCTCAAAGTTAGTTACATTTGTGTATAAATTTCATTTATACAAGCCATCGTAGTGTTTTTATAATTCCCATATCAAAAGAAAGAGTGCTATTCTAATTATAAATTACCTTTCTTATTATAAAAACCTGTTTATACCTATAGTTTATCTATTCTTTTGATCATATTCAAACAAATATTGGATCATATAATATCCCATCTGGTAAGTCAGATCTTCTGTTTTTTTAGTCTAACTCTAGCTTTTTTCCTTTGCCAATTAGCTTTCCAGGCCAAAGTTATTAAATCACCAAAAAATCTTCCTGTTTTTGTAAATATTGCTTGGAATGGAAAAAACAATTTAATTAGGGTATTTTTGAGGGGGAATTCTGCCCAGTAAGTCATTAAACACCTCCCACTTTCCTTCTCCCTCAGCTTCTTTTTTCATTTTTTGTCTCCCAATTTCTGGCATTTCCCCTAACAGCTTTATGATCTGTTTTTTAAAATCTTCTTCCTTATTCTCATTTATATTTTGAAAACCTAAAGAATAGGGTGCCTTTTCTATTTCTGTTGTTGTACTTAAGTCTTACAGATTTTTATTTGTCTGTGCCAATTTATGTTTCCCTTCTTTTATATCTTGTGTCTTTGAATCAATTTCCTCTGATTCATCTTTTGTTTTCTGACTTATTTGTTCATTTTTGGTAATCGTTTTCTGGGAACGTTCTAGTTGTAAGGTTAAGTTAGAGATTTGCTCATTTATATTATCAAAATTGTTTTTAATATCATCATGGTTTCTTCTTGCATCTTCTTTATGTGAAATAATTATCTCCTGAATTAATTGTAGCATAAAATGTATATTTCCTTCTAGAACAGTGGTTCTCAACCTTTCTAATGCCGCGACCCCATAATACAGTCCCCCATGTTGTGGTGACCCCCAACCACTTATACATCACTGGGTGCAAGGGGCGTGGCCAAAGAAAAGGAGGGAAAAATGGCGGACAGCCTTGTTTGGCGACCCCCGTGAAATGGTCGTTCGACCCCAAATGGGGTCCCGACCCACAGGTTGAGAACCACTGTTCTAGAAAATATTTACTTCTCCTTGAGGGGTCACCCCTACAGATCCTTGGTACTCCTTGGCTGGAGGCTTCAAATGGGGGTATTAAATATGTTCTCCTACCACTGTTGGCTAGATATAATGGATCCATTTTATTCTCACCCCTCTAGATATTCTGTCAGAACTGCTGTGATCCCCAAATACTAGTTTTGTCTAATACCACCAATCTTAATGTCCATGGAACAAAGTCTCATCTAGTTCTTCTGGTATTTATATGTAGTCTTTATAATCCAGTAGGTTCCAGAATAAAAGTCCACCATTGAAAGCAATATTTTGTAATAGACCTTCTGCTCAGGTGTCCAGAAATTGTCAATTGGCCAAAGTTTGCAATCCAAAGTATTCAAAATATTAAATCACCCTAAAAACAATCCAAAAGCCTCCCCCAGACAAACGTAGCCAAAAGTCAAATTTTCCTTTCTTTCCAAATAGTTCTTAAAAGTCAGAGCTCAGTATATGTTTATAATCCAAGAAGGTCAACAGGTTTCAAAACAATTAAGTTCTCACACTGTAGTAAGTGTACCAACTTTTTCTGTTGCCAGTGCTTTCTGTTGAGTTAAAAGTTACCAAACAACAAAGAAGCTAGATTGTTATCTATTTCTAGGCTTCTTGCCAAGTCTGCATCAATCATTGCAGCTGTGGTTATACTCTAATCCACCACTAGATGTCATTCAATATCCATTTTCCGACTCTTAAAACAGAAGGTTGATTTCTTGTATTTCACCCCACTATACTTTCAGAGAGAAAATCTTAACAATTTTCTCAAGTCTCAAATTTATCAAAACTATAGCTTTATATTACTTCCATTTCAGTGTTAAATATTTCTGTTCCCCATAGAAAAATTAAAATGCCACTTCCATTCCTCTGGAAGGGTGGCGCTACAATCCCCTCCCTTCTCGTGTTCGGAGGTTTTTAGCTTCTGGGAGCCTTTTCCAGGAAATCCAGTTGTAAAATAGTAAAGAAAGGATCAATATTCTCACCCTGATCCAAACACACTGTTTACAATCTGCTAATTAGTGCTTTCTTTCTTCGGTTGTCAGTAGCTGGCGGCTGGCCACATGAATGCAGCCAGTCTTTCCCCGCCGATTCAGAGGGCTTTCCTAGGATGAATCTCTCCATGATCTCTCCGTGATTGACGATGCACTCCTCCTTCTGCATCACCTCTCTGGGGCAATTTTAGGCCCTTTTAAGCCCCCAGCAGGGCAAAATTGGGCACAGAGCCCTACCTTCCTGCATATGTATAGCTACGACACCAAACCGGAAGTCTCATCTAAGTCATTTATGAAGATATTGAAGAATACTAGGCCTAAGACAGAGTCTTGTGATACCCCACTGCTTACTTCTATCCATGTGGATGTATTACCATCAAGGAATACTTGTTGAGTACGATTTGTTAGCCAGCTATAAATCCATTTGGTGGTAATGTTGTCTATTCCACATTTTTCTAGCTTACCAAGAAGTAGGTTGTGGTCTACTTTGTCAAATGCCTTACTGAAATCTAAGTATACCATGTCCACAGCATTTTGCTGGTCTATTAATTTAGTCACTTTATCAAATTAAGCAATATTGTTATTCGTTATGTTGTAGAAATATCTGAAAAGCTCAGGAATATCTGAAGAGCACACAACACACATGCACACTTTAAACCGAAAAATACACTAAGGCAGAAGCTTGTCTACCCCATGGATAAAACACAGAGACACAAACTGAGCTACGTGATATATACAATACAATGCACTGAGACATGTACAGATCTGTACATTGGAGAAACAAAACAACTACTTCACAAATGCATGGCATAAAATAGGAGAACACATCGGGACAAGATTTAATGGTCTATCTGCATTTGAAAGACAAATGTCACTCTTTTGATGACAGACACAGTCCACATTCTGGACAGAGAGGACCACTGGTTTGAAAGAAGGATCAAAAAGATCATCTACGTTACAGGTTGAATAGCCCTCTCTCAACAAAGGGGGAGGGATATGACACCACCTGTTTACAACACAGTCCTTTCAGCAGTCCCAAGAAGTTTCCACATTCTGATTCAGGTGACCCTGAAGGCACAGATAAACCCACAAATAGCCTCAACAACTTTTAGAGAGAGTGCTAATGACCAGATGACTGCAAGTCATATAAATCTTTCCATTCCCCCAACCATTCAGTCACAATTGAAGAAACTTCATGGATGAGAAGTGAAACACCTTCACGAAAAAAACAAAGACAGTTCAGTTGCCTTTGAAACATCACCTTTGGAAGAATCGGACCAGAATAATTCTTTCATATCTGGTGGCAATGCTGTAAAGCTCAATAATTCTGAAAAACAATCAGAAAACATCACAATGAAATAAAGTTTAAAAGTTAAATTTTCTTTTCCATCCACGATATTCTTACTCTGCCTCTAAAATGTATACAGGTAGTCCACAAGTTACAATAGTTCATTTGAAGTTACGTCCCTGAAAAAAGTGATGACCGTTTTTCGCACGACCATTCCAGCATCCCCATGGTCACGTCATCAAAATTCAGATGCTTGGCAACTGACTCATATTTATGATGGTTGCAGTGTCCCAGGGTTATGTGATCACCTTTTACAACATTATGACAAACCAAGTCAATGGGGAAGCCAGATTCACTTAACAACCATGTTATTAATTTAACAACTGCAAACAAATGTGACAAGAAAAGTCATAAAAGGGGGCAAAACTCACTTAGCAAATGTTTCACTTAGCAACAGAAATTTTGGGCTCAGTTGTGATTGTAATTATTTACTGTATTATTTAATTATTGTAATTATTTACTGTATTATTTAAAAACAGTAACTTTGAAAGGGACCTTGGAGTCCTAGTGGACAATCACTTGACTATGAGCCAGCAGTGTGCAGCAGCAGCCAAAAAAGCTAATACAATCCTGGGTTGTATAAACAGAGGCATAGAATCAAGATCATACGAAGTATTAGTATCACTTTATAAAACTTTAGTAAGACCACACCTGGAATACTGCAGCCAATTTGGGTCACCATATCACAAAAAAGATGTTGAGAATTTGGAAAAAAAAATTCAAAGAGCAACTAAGATGATTAAAGGTCTGGACACCAAAACATACAAAGAACAGCTGCAGGACTTGGGTTTGGCTAGTCCAGGGGTAGGCAACCTTGGCTCAGGAATTCTGTGAGTTGAAGCCCACGAGTTAAAAAACAGCCAAGGTTGCCTACCCCTGGGCTTGTCTAAAGAAAAGAAGAAATAGGGGACACATGATAGCAGGGTGCCAGTATCTCAGGGGCTGCCACAAAAAAGACGGGGGGTCACGTTATTCTCCAAAGCACCAGAGGGCAGGACAAGAAAATGGTTGGAAACTGATCAAAAAGAGAAGCAATCTGGAATTAAGGAGAAACTTATTCTATTCTATTCCCACAAAAGTATGTTGAACATGTTAACCGCTGCAATGAAACCTAACAGATTCCTTCTGGCCACCTATTCCATGGTTGGTAGATCTTATCACCAGAAAACTTCCTCATAGTCCTAAACATGACTTGTTTGGTTTGAGTTTATTTCTTACAAAATGTATATCCTCTTCTCATTCGCAAGATTCAGTGAGTTGTGTGAATCCCAGTGTTGTAATTTTTAAATTTGTGGTTTATGGCGCAAGGGGCAGCCAGAGGCCCCGGGCTGCCCATTGTTTTGCAGTCTTGGAATAGCCATCAAGCCTATACGAAAACTGACTGCACAGTACCTTATCACCTTTTACCAGACCCGCAAAACCAGTCCTTAAGGCTCCTGGGCACACCCCCGACCATTTTCCAGGGGCAACCCCCGGGTCAAGCAAAGTGAGATGGGCACCACCTAAATTTGAAAAATAAATAAAATATAAATAAATACGGTTGTGTTCCCCACTAAGAGCAACTAGGCCTAACAGAGATCTTGTCTAACGGGCGGCCACCCGCCTTTTTTGAGCAGTCAGGGAGAAAGAACTCTGCGCGTGGACAGAAGCTCTGCTCTCCAGCCATTCACAAGTTCGCCCAGCCCGCAGTTTGGGGACGGGGAAGCAGCCTCGCGCGCCTTCCTTCGGGGCCGCCGCGGGGCTCCCCGAGCCTCCTTCGCTCCTCCCGCCACTTCCCAGCCTGGGCTCCGTCGCGGTTTCCCCGCAAGGACAACCGGGCCCGCCCCGCCGAGCCCCCCGATTTGGGCTGAGGGGCCGCAGCCCAGCCTCCGCGGCCGATCTCTGGTGCCCGGGAGGCGCGCCGCTCCTTTGGCCGGATAAGCGTCCCGGCCATCGACGCCTCCCCCCTCGGTGCGGCCGCTCCGGCTCAGGGCCGCCAGCCTGGGCAAAGCAGCCAGGCCTCCCCCACCCGCGCGCCGCAAAGGGAGGGGCCAGCGAGCGAGCGAGCGAGCGGCCGACCCACCTGCCCCGGTCCCAGCTGTCGGCGAAGCCGGCCCCTCGAGGACCGCCTCCCGGCCCGCGCGGACCAATCAGCGCTTCCCTGGGGGAGCGGAGGATGGCTGGGAGGCTCCCCCGGAAGTACAGGTTTTGCGCGCGCCCGGCTGGCTCTCCGGCCGGAAGAGGGCGGCCCGGCGGGCGCTCCTCTTTCCCGCCGCCAAGCGGAGCGGAGGGGACGAGCGATGGAGGACGAGCGGGAGCTGTACGGCATCGAGGACGAGTTCGAGGCGCAGTTCGCCGACGAGCTGGAGGTCCTGGCGGAGCTGGAAGGTGGGCAGAGCGTGGGAGGGCGCGATGCGCTAACGCCGCCTCTTCGGGACTCGGGGACAAAACCAGACGCGCCCCGAAGAAGAGGGACGAGCTGCAGAGGCCCGGGGCGGAGGTGGGGAAAGGGCTTGTACGAGGGACTCTGCCGCCTCCCAGGACGAGAAGTTCTCCGCTCGGGGAAGGCGCTGCCGGCTCCCCACTGCGAGGGGAGGCTCTGGGGCTGCAGCTTCCCCTGTAACTAGACGGGCTGCTTTATCTGGGCCCTTCGTGAGCAGCTCAGCCAATGCCCTCCGCATCTCTGCTGCCATCCCGAGATGCCCTGGATCTCGGCAGCCCGGGTGCCTCGGAAAAGGGTCCCAGAATGCCACCTCCAGGCAATTACTGTTTAAAAAACCAAACGGATTCAGCTCTCACTCCAGGCCTCGATGACCAGGCTCAGGTTATCCTGCTTCGGCCGTGCGAAGACCCAGCTCTCTGGAGATGCCGGGAAAGGCGGACAGAGAGGCAGAAAAGTGGATGGACTCAGTTGCAGTGGTAGTGAATGCACCATGGGAAGACCAGAGTGGACACAAATCATCCCTGGGAAAATCTCATCTGTCTCAGTTATGGCTGTCAGTGACCTGACAGCAATTAATGGTCTCCCTTTTCTAATTATCTACCATATGTCCTGACCTGGTCCTAGAGGGTATTTCCATGCATATCAGTTGAGAGTACTGTTCTCTATAGAGAGTGTACCAGCAAACTTTTTAACTTACTTGGGCTAGATGAAATGGTTTTGAGACCAGATTTGGCCCATGTAATCTATCGTTGCCTAAACCATGGCATGGTCGAGGATTATGAATTGGTTTGCTCAACCCAGCTGGAGATTTGTCTCAACATGTGAATTGTTTAATTGCTGTCCTATTCTTCGCAGGTCCAACCCTAGCAGTAGGATGCAATAAAGTCTCAAAGTTCCGAAGCCAAAAGCGCACATTTGAAGAGGCGCTCTCTGCTGGGGACCTCCATTTTTGTCTGGAAAAAGATAGCCAAAACCAGGTTTCCCCCAAGAAGATGCTGGGTGAAGGTGACCCAAAATGTGAGGGGACAGAACACCCCCCGACAATCACAGAAATGGTAGAAGATCGTGCAGATCATCTTATCCAGAAGGTTGGCACAGCTCACAGTGAGTTTTAAAGTCCATTGTACAATAAAAGTGATGGTGTTTTGTTTTATCTGCTGATTTACAAAAAGATGGCTGTTACATTTAGAGTTTAATTAAAGAGCTGAAGGCAATTTGACTTTACAGAGGCTGTAGCTATGACGTGGACTGCTTGTGCTCTTTGGTGTTGGGGCAAAAGGCGAGATGGCATCTTTTGGCAACAGTGCCTTCCTAGATACTTCTTTGGGCCCTTTAAAGAGGAAGTTGGCATGTTGCAAAGCAAACTTCTCAGCCTTGTGGCAGAAATTTTTATCCCTTGAGGTGGGATAAACTGGCAGAATTAGTGGCAGAAATTTTTATCCCTCAAGGATTTGGAGTAATTTCAGTCTCCCAAGCATTTCAAACATTCTAAAAATAAAGGATTTTCCAATTTTAGGGAAGATACCAGTAAAGAAGGGAGACAGGATGCTCTCAAAAAGGAGATCCAGGAATCTGGTACAGCTAGTAAAAAGCCAGAGTCCCTGGGAATCATTGGAACCTACCTTTGGATGAAGATGGGGACTCAGTGGAGGAGTAGCATTGAATTGACAGCGAACTCCACCTCTCTCTCATTCCTGCTTAGGGAAGCAGGGTCTTTTATTGTCATACTGACTGTCTTTTATTGTCATATTGCTGTATCCTCATTGTTTCTTTTTTCATTGTTTATTCTTTCCATTAGAATTTGCTACTGTTATATTTACACTTTTTATTTCTCTGTTTTTATTGTTGTGAGTTGCCTAGAGTAGCCCCACAGTGAAATAAGCAGCAAATAAATTCAACAAAGATTCCCAGAAGAGGTTCAGATTCTCTGACAGGAGACAGAAATACCTGTCTAAACCAGGGATGGATAGCTTTTATTTGTTGGGGGCTGCAAGAGCATGGCCAATGAGGTGATGATACTCAAAACATAGACGTGGGCAAAATATTCAAATCCTTAAGCCTTGCAGAGGGTTAAAACTATTTTATTTCTGAAAAATGACAAAATTTGGGAAAATCTATTGGAGTTGGGAACGAAAATTTCTGAACTGGCTGACAAATTATAGGGGCTGAGGTCCCGCCCTGCTAGAGAGTACCAGGCTGAGGAAGGCCCATTTACAAACAAAACAGCTGTTCTTTGCTCTCTGGCATTCTGACAGCACCAAAACCAAAGCGGCGACGACTTGAAGCTGTGAAAAGGCTGGACTTTGGGCAGCTCAACAGAATTGTCTCTGAAGACTCACCACAAGATAGCTCAGCACCAACTCTTTCTCCTAATGCCCTTTCTGAATACCTGGATGCAAGGTTAGCTCATCAAGACTAACAAAACATGCTCAAGGTGGTCGGTGTTAAAGAGGTTTTTGTTCAGTTGGGCAGGTCAACCAAATCCCCAAAGTCAAAATGATACTAGATCTGCCCTCATAGGAAGTATGAGGAGCTTCCCCAGTTTTTCACCATTGCAGTGGGATATTTGTAAGATCCAAAGGCATCCCAGAAAATAAAAATAGTGTCTTTTTCTTTTTAAATATATTTAAAAATATATATTTTTAAATAGGACAGTGATAGGATTTGATAGGCTACTACAGTGTTTCCCAAACTTGACAATTTTAAGGCATGTGGACTTCAACTCCCAGAATTCCACAGCCAGCAACGCTGGCTGTGGAATTCTGGGAGTTGAAGTCCACATGCCTTAAAATTGTCAAGTTTGGGAAATACTGGGCTACTACACTGAGTTACTGTTGACTATTAGATGACAGCGGACAGGTACGAAAGCCATAATGACTGCCATCTAGTGGTTGTCCACCACCTTGCAGTCCAGTTTTGGTAGCCCAAGACTGAGGGAGGCTAGTGGGCAACAAGAGAAGGGTCTGGGAGCACATTACTAAAGGAAGATGAGTTATAAATAAGGTTGTGAAATGTGGTTACAGAAACATATATCTTCCCTTTGGCACAGAGCATGTGCCTTCCAGATACTTGAAAGTACATTACTTCTCATGACCAACCAGATGAGTTATAATCTGGAGACCACTGGAGCAAGCCTGTGTGCTGCCTTTTCAAAGGTTTGATAGCAGTTGTTCTTCTTTCCCTACTCTAACTGGGTAGGAATCCAAGACCTGATGTCGTAGACCCGGAGGAAATAAGTGACATAGTCCTGCTGCATGACACACCTCCAGGGAAGAAGGAATCCGGGAAGGTCCTCAAACGTCCACCCATCCTGCAGGACTACATCAATGTGACCTCTACTAATGGCACACGAATCTTTATGGTTGTGAAGGAGGATGACATAGCAATGGAGGTACCAATCGAAGAAGGGCTTGAGTTTTTGTGGAAACTCACGTGGTCTTTTTCTGCTTGTCTGGAATAGGGTGGGATAGGTTTGGAAGTGGATCACATCCTGCTACGCCTGTTATAGAAATGCTTTGTTTGGTTTTGCAGTTTGTCAGTTCTGTTAGTTGGAAGAGACAGAGACCACTTCACCTTCTGGGTGTCCCATTTGCCTACCTTAAAGAAGAAGTAATGGAAGAGGTACAGTTCTTCTCTACAACCCTCCCCTTCCCCCAAAGCAGAATCCTGCCTGTGTTCCATCCCCCCTGCCTGGTTCATCTGGCTTTTGCCTCAGCTTTTGGCAAAGATACAGCAGTTTGTATTGTTTGTATACGAAAACGCCAGGTCCAGCTTAATGTCAACTATCCCACTCAGTCATCCAGCAAGAAAGACTCCTGGAATATATTTTACTAAAGCTTAAGTAGTTACAGAAATAGCAAAGCTGGATCTGGCGTTTTCGCATGCAAACAATGCAATTAACTTTTTTTTCCCCCAGCCATCCCCCTGTTACCAAGTAATGTCCACTTGGGTACTTGGGTATTGTTTGGGTATCTTGGGCTTTCCAGCTTTGCATGTCTGGGGCTGGCTGTTGCTTCTCACACTTCTGGCCAGCACAGCTTGGTTCCCATCCCTCCCCTAATTCCTCTCTGCATTCCCATCCTCTCTTCCCTCCCTCCCTCCCTCCCACCCATCCATCCCTCTTGCTAATGTCAGGCAATCAGCTTGCGGTGCTTGGCTAGCAGAAAGGCAGCCATGACAGTAACTTTATTTTTAAATTTTATGGATTGAGGATGGCTTCACATTTCTATACTCTTAACCATCCCCAAGTATAGAAGAGTCTTTTCCCTAGCCCGTTTCAATGTTTTGCCCTCAGCACTACTCGACAGGCGATTCAAGAGGCTCCTGTTTAGTGAGCGACTATGCCCCTGTGATAGGGCTGAAGTTGAAACTGTGGCGCATGTCTTATCGTACTGCCCTACGTATAACACAGCCAGAATTAAATTACTGTCTCTCCTTGGAATGGATCCCTCTGGTTCTAATGTTAGTAATTTGGTCTTATATTGTCTAGGGGATGACTCCTCCTATATTACTTCTCAGGTTTCTAAATTTCTTTTAAGGGCTGTGACTATTAGAGGAGAATGTTGTAATTCCCTTTAGTCAAGGCTTCTGGTGTTAACTGTTTGTGATTGTATTT